AAAGAAGCCTAGAATCCCCTAGAACAAAATCTGAAAGCCACTGTCCTAAGGTCCCCTCTTTATTTCATATTCCTAAAACCTTCAAAAGCCAAAGAACAAACAGCAAAATCTTTCAAAGTCCCTTAGAGAATGACAATGGCTATAAAATGTTTCAAATTGCTTCAGTTAGCATGAAGTATTTTTAAAACACAGAACGTTAGTGTGAATGAACTAGTTATTTTTTAAAAGCTTTGTAATATTGCATTTGGTCATATTTGCTTTGGCAGAAACATATAAAACCACCTGGAGTTGTTGGCCTGGGACCAAGGGAAGATAAATTTTATAAATTCTATGGCCTGTCCACTCCGTAGCTTTCTAAAAGGGCAAGAAAGGAAAGGATATCACTAATAAATCTCATAGTGCTGATCTCAGTTTGACCATTGGTACCAGTGAAGAAGGTGCTAAGAAAAGATTAGATGAAGAAACCCGGAAAGGGTGCAACTTGGCTTCTGATACCCTCCTTGTAAACTGCTAGGCTGCTCATTTTGGCTCTTTGGGATGAAGACAATAAAAGGCCAGAGCAAAAGTTCATCCATTAGAGATTCCAAGAAGCATTTAGCTTTCTCTTCCTCAAATGTTGTTTGTATCAAGTTCTCAAGAATAGAACTCTGGGAACTGCCAAATTGCAGAGAGCATCTGTTTCTGCCATGCTCAGCACGATGCTTTCCTCAAGCCAGCACACCAAAGTAATGTTAAGCAACTGAAAAATTCTGGAAGCGCAATTGCTAACATCATCTTGCCTCCAAAAGACAGTCTGGAATCTATTTGTCATCTCACATCTGTCTAAAGCATGCTGTTATTCCTGTGTTCCCTGCATCTTGTTGCTATCAAGGTGCTCCTTAACTCTTATCACCAGGTCAGCATTAAACTAAATCATCTTTGCAATTTATTTGGAGATGGGGAAAGGGGGGAGGGAGACTGTTTTTGCCTCCACTACTGATTAGATCCATCCCAGTACAGCCTAGGAAAATATTCTGCAATAAGTGTTCTCAAGATACAGATGACATTTCCTTTGATTTTATAGAGCTGATTCTCAAAGACTGAGCCAGAAATGACAGGCTGCAAGAGGCTTGGACAGACTGGCAGATTATTAGTAGCAGTCAGGGGTCATTTCGTAGAAAAAGAGCTAGGGGGGCTCATTAGCATAACTCATTAGCATATGCCACACCCCCTGACATCACCGGAAGTGTGTCCTCCCCACAGCCGGCGGCGACCTCCAGCGGGCACCAGCAGGGAGCTCCAGGCCCCGCCCTCCCGCACCTCACCCGGGGGGATGGCGTCCCCCCGCGTCCCCCCCCAAATGACCCCTGGTAGCAGTGATACCGGAAATGGACTCTGGGGTGAAAATCTAGGGGCTGAGTATATAGGCTCAGCAGGAGGGAGAAGCAAGTTGTCTCTTTGCATTTGAAGTATTCATTACCATCTAAATGAGAACATACATAAGACTATTAAGTTGCTACTTAACTATACCAATTAGCAACTATACCAATTAGCAATATGTACAGTTTCCCACTTAAAACCAGGGATTGTCAGAATTATCATGTCTGAAGACCTGCACTGATTGTACATGGAATTACTGTACGAAACAGTACGAAACATATGAGAAAAATCATGGGCTACAATTCAAAAGAAGATGCACTGATAGGTCTATTGATTTCAACAAGCTTAAGCATGCCTAATTCAGCGTTGGACTACAGCCACTGAGTGGTAACATATGAGTACTGTAGACTAGTAGTTAATAAGCAGCTATAAATCACTCTTCTGTTTTGTTTCGGTCAATATATCATAAAGCTGGAAGAAACAGATATCAAATGGGATATCTGCCTAAGCCAAAGGAGTAGTAAGCGCCTCCACAGTCCTGGCCAGTATCCAACTTTTCTGTTTGTATTCTGTTTATATTTGCCAGGCCAAGCTGAAATTATACAGTCCCCCAATGAAGTTCATTCTTGATTTATAGAAATAGTACATATGAATCTGCCTTTTAGTTAGACAAACCATTGGTCCATCTAGCCTAGTAATGTTTTCTCTGACTGGCTGTGATTCTCCACAGCCTCAGTCAGAATCTTTTCCAGCCTTGTTACCCAAGATCAGTGGTGGCCAAACTGCGGCTCGGGAGCCACATGCGGCCCTTTCACACATATTCTGTGGCTCCAAGCAAGGTAGCTGGGGAAGTGAAGGCAAGGTATGCCTCCCCTATCAGTCTTCCCTTCCCCAGCCAGTATTCCTCTCCCTGGTAAGGCTTGAGGTGAGGGGAGCAGAGAAAGAAAGCAACTTTAACTTTAAATGAGTCCTCAAAACCCCCCCCCCCGCCTGGAGAAGGCCTTTGCCTCTTTAAATCCCCTCTCCAAGCCAAGATAGATGGCAGGGAGGCATGGCGGGGCTTGGAGGGCACATTTAAAGTTGCTTTCTTTCCATCTCTCCCTCCCTCCCCCCATCTATTTGCTTTCTTTCCACTTTCTTTCTTTCCACCTTTCTTTCTCTCTCTCTTTCTCTTCGCCTTCCCCATCTAAAGTTAAAATCATTCTCCAAGCCCCAGCCCTGCCTGCTGGCTTGGAGAAGGCATTTGTCTCTTTAAATCCCTTCACCAAGCCAAGCTGGCTGGCATGGTGTATGTGTGTGGGGGGTGGTGGAGAACACATTTAAAGTTAAAGATGGTACTGGGCACTGGACACAGACTTTCTAAAATGCTCTTGAGTGGCATCACCAAGGATAAGTCATGTTAGCCGCCCTGAGCCCGCTTGCGGGATGGGCGGGGTATAAATATAATTAATAAATAAATATAAATAATAGCTCAGAGTTGGTTTTGCCATTGTCATTGTTAACTTATTCATTGATTTGTACCTATAGATTTGTCTAAAATGACACTGCCATGAGTGATTGATGTAGGAGACCTATGTGTAATATACAGGCTAGGAATCATCTTGGAGGTACCTGCCTCATTTACAGCAGCCATTACTGCAAAAAGCCAAGTGAGGCTAGGACGCACAAGCAGCAGTTTTTTGGGGGGGAGAGAAATGCCAACATAAATTCATTCACTGCTCAAGGCATGGCCTTCAGTCAAATAAACTTAGGAGGGCGTATACTCTGGCTAGATGCTCCGCCTTACCTTCTGCAGTCCTTGAAGGCAAATTCAAGAAAACTCCCCGAAATGAGAGGCTATGTATGTGTGCGTCTGGGGAGATCGAATCCCAGGAACATGTGTTCCTGAGATGCCCATTATATAACGAAGCTCGCACAAAACTTATTGGCCCTCTCTTGGTTGGCTCCTCAGATCAGGATAAGATAGAGCAATTGCTTTCAAATTCTGACCATATAGCGCTACATCAGATAGCGAAATTTTGTTTTTTGGTTGTAAAAGCTCATCAGCGTCCAGGCAGCCACTTGGGTTAGGACTGTTTGTTTTAAATCCAATCGATCTTTTATTCTTGTTATTTTATCTTTTTTAAGACTAAATTCTGTCCATTATTACACCGTATTTTTGGTTTTAGAGTTTAAAATGCTTGTACAATTCTATTTCTATTTAACCTTGTTTTATATTAATAGATTCACCATCTGGATACTTTTGACATTGTGATCTATTTATATGATAAATATTTGCAGGTATGGTTTTATATTGCTGGCTATGCGCTGTAATAATAAATTCATTCATTCATTCACTGCTCAAGGCATGGCCTTCAGAATTCACCATTCTTGGACCAGCCACTTGTGCCACTGGATACAAGCATTCCATTTTTTCCCAACTGTCATAAGCAGTGTGCCCTCTAAGTTGAGTTAGTGTGAGCTAGCTCATAGTTTTTTAGCCTCCAGCTCACACATTTTTGTCTTAGCTCAAGAAGGATGGCTCCAGAGCAAACTAATCTGAATGAATGAATGATGTTTATTTACGGTCAAAGACCATTTGTCAAAATAATACATATTCATTAAATACAACAGATTAGCTTTCAGTCCAAAGATATATATTTAAACATATAACCTTAAAACCATTAAAATGTTAAAAAATAAAAAGTTTAACAGTCCATTATATCAGAATAACTATGAAAATGTCTAAAACTAAACTAATTAGAAGTCATGCAAAAGGTGATTAAGGGTTTTTATTGTGGAATTTTACCAGCTGCAAGCAGAATTTAGCTATTTGTCTGGAGTTTTGCTGATTTTCATCTGCCAGAAGTCTCTCACAAACTAATTTATGTGGTACCCCAATCGCTTGCTCACAACTTTAATGCCAGTAGCTCACAAAGTAGAATTTTTGCTTACAAGACTCCACAGCTTAGAAGAAGAAGAAGAAGAGATTGGATTTATACCCCGCCTTTCACTAGGATTCTCAGAGCGGCTTACAAACTCCTTTCCCTTCCCTTCCCCTCCCCACAACAGACACCCTGTGAGGTAGATGGGACCTCTGACAGAACACCTCTGACAGAACTATGGCTTGCCCAAGGTCATCCAGCAGCTGCAAGTGGAGGAGTGGGGAATCAAACCCAGTTCTCCCAGATTAGAGTCCGTACACTTAACCACTACACCAAACTGGTTCCTTAGAGGGAGCATTGGTCATAAGTTATTTGCCTTCTGACAATTCACATTACTAGAAGAAGTTGCATAAAAGTAATTTACAGTTTAAAGTAAATACAAGGAGTATCCAGGCAGACTTTTCTGGCTCAATGACAAGGGTGAGTACCATGCCAAACTGGTATGGGACTAGAAAATATTTTCTTCCCTTTTAAATATAAGAAGGAAAGCCACTGGTAAGGCTAGATTTAATATATATTTTTTTTTGGCTGAGATTGATGTGATTTCTCACCAACATACTATGTAATTTCAGTATAAACACAAATTTGGCCAATGGTGAAAACCACATCATAGCAGGTTACAGACCATTCTGAATGACCCCAGTAGCATCTCCAAACTCCATAGTCTTTTCTTGCAATTTGTCCCACACCCTGTATTGCCTGCAGGGGGTATCTTACCGGAGGACCACGGGGACCAATGATAGACATGCCGGCTTCTCCTGGGGCTCCCTGCAGACAGCAAAACAGCAAGACAGAAGCAGAAAACATGTGTGAAAAAGAAGATTGAAAATAGACAGGGTGGTGGGGGGAGACTATTGTTACAAGTGGTAACATTGACCGTTATAATAAAACAGTTAAGTGAATAACAGTAGAGTTGTGAGGGAAAAAATGGATTGGCAAATAAATGATGAAAGAAGTTTACAAAGGAAATTAAAATCAACAATATATGCACATATTTGTGAGAGACGGTTTCTTCCTCTTAAAACAGCAGGTTCTTCTGGCCTTTTACAGCCAAGACAGGGAGCCATTTTGAATCTATTCTGAAATCAGATCAAAGCACTACTCTGGGCTTCTTGAGAGTGGAAAGTATATTCTCACTGTGTAGTTTACAAAATGCTATTATCCAGTGCCAGATTTGTCTTGTTCCTAGTTATCATTCTTGTCTACTGGGAAGCCTCATCTCCCCTAATCAGGGGGATTTAATATAAGTAGAAGTTAAGCTACTATGTTTTGTAAGAGGCTGTAGGAATTCCAAAGCAAAGACAGCCCTCTCAGCACACACATTTTGGTTTAGTTTGAGGATTAGATGCTCTATAGAATTTCTAATTTTGACTGCACCAATAGTCCTGCAGCAATTTCCCCCCAAAAAACTGACATTGCAGTTCTGCTACAGTGGGGAAAATCAAATTCAGTTAATTACATTCTGTCTGTAACAAATTTGTGAGTAAACATAGGTGAACAACTTGGTCATCCTCATTCTTGCTTGGAATTAGCAATTTCAGTGCTCAATCTATTAGAAAATTAGTGACCATGCTGTATATCAACCATTAGGCCACATTTGCTGTAGACATTCTGAACTCCTTTGAAACTGGTTAAGCGACCACGATTTCTTCCAAGGAATCCCAGGAACTATACTATTATGAGACTGGTGAGAATTATTTGTTAAGAGACCCTTAGCTTTTTCAACAGACTATAGTTTCCAGCATTCCTTGGTTGGGGGATATGGCAGATGTAAATCTGGAGAAGTGGGCTTCTTTCCACATAGCCTCTGCAGTGGCTATGTCAGTTAGTGTCAGACTATGATCTGGGAGACCCAGGTTCAAATCTGCCATGGGAGCCTGGTAGGTGACCTTAGTCCAAACCCTCAGTCTAACCTACCTCACAAGGTTTATTTATTTATTTATTTGATTTATACCCCGCCCTCCCTGCCGAAGCAGGCTCAGGGTGGCTTACAAGGCCAGTGGCAACATAAAAACATTAAACAATAAAAAAAGAATGATATAAGCTGCTGTGGATCTCCCTTGGGGAGAAAGGTGAGGCATTAATGTAGTAAATAAATATGTGTCAGAAGTTACAGGTAACATAGAAGGAGGCCATGCACTGGCTCCTACACAGAGGAGATTTGCTCAAGGGTTCAGGGGAGAAAGCTAGTGAGGAAGGGGCCAGTTTCTTTCTAAACTGCTACAGATAACATGTTTTGATTGACCACTACCACAGCTTCTGCAATATGCAGCAACTCTTAACTGCTTTGGTTTGTTAGGTGTATGCTGAGTTTCTGGCTTGACAGCCAATGAATACCCTCTTGCTGGCACCCTCTCTGGATTTATTTCAAAATTGTAATTGACTATAAGACTCTTTAAATTTATTCCTCTGTCAGAGCTCTACCCAAGTCACACATCCCAAAGGCATTTATTAATAGATATGCATATTTCATGCAGTTAATAAAATTCTGTAGGTTTCTTTTGAAGAGGCTGTGTGAAGGAGTGAAGCTCAAAACAATATAACTTTGGTGTTTTCTTGCCATCAGTTGTGAAAGCAAAGCCAGTGGAGAGACTGGGAGGGAGGCTGAACTATATAGGTGGTTCTACTCTGATAAGTAAAAAACAAAAACAAAAAAACCACCAACCCTATCAGACCTTATTTTTCCCCCATCTGAATGAATTTCTGTTGGCTATTCTGGAACTTCCTTTGGATTACAAAAGACTTGGTTTCAGTGATGAATTTACTAACATCTGATGGTCTTTCATGGCTGCTGAACTTCAGGAACTCCAGAAGCAGCACTATATTGTACTGTAACCTCATGCATCATCATGATACAACTGAGCTGCATTGGGACAGGGGTCTCTGCATGTGTGGCACATATCTCTTTCTTGAAACCTCCGGAAACTTTAATAAAATGTGCAGAAATCTGGCATTACCCTGTTTTTTCCTCAGAACAGAATTGTAACATTTGCTATAAAATTCCTAGGAGTCCAAGGATTGGGCAAAAGCCTTAATAATGTTTTTTGTATTTTGAAGGTTCTTCGTGGATATTTCTTCAAACGCCTTTCAAACGCTCAAGTGGTTTACTCTATAATCCTTCACTTAGGAAGTGGCCTATTGGTGTAATGCTAAAATAATCATAGCCTTTCCAAAAATCATAAGTTGCATGTGACTTTCATTAAGGGACCAAATTCTTTAAAAAGCCCTAAGGCATCTAGTGTATTTGTGTACAATATTGTGCGTGGCAGCCACTTACATACACACACATTTTGTATCCTTTATATGAATAAAAGAGGAATCAAGCGAAGAAAAAAAAACCCTCTCCAAACCACAGGTTGCAATTGCTTTTGCTCAGGGGTTCATTCAGTAGCAGCCAATTCCAAGCATTTAAATGGGTTAAACCCATAAGCAAAGGTTAAACACTGACTGGAATGCTGAGCTGTTATATCACCAAAGTGTAATATAGCCATTTGTCATTAAAGAGAGTATAACGGTTCTTGGTGGATTTCAGCAAAATTCAGCACTGATTTTGCCATTAAGTGACTGTCTAGGACAGCCCTTTTGAGGAGGCATCATTATTGTAGTAAGCATGAAACATTCGTTTCCCAGCATCATCTTGGTATAGTCTTGTTGAGCCCTGTTATGAAAAATTATTCTCCACTCTATGTGAACAGTTCAGTCCTGGTGGTCTCTGATGGGCCACTTGCTGTTCTGATAATGTGTAGTTAGTTACACTTGTCTTTCAGAAGGGGTTGGAAAATACGGTAAGTCTGGTTGTTTGTTTCCATGTGTGTATGTGTTTTCCCCAGGCAGTCACTGAAAGGGTTTCCAGATCAGTTGAGCCCCATCTTTTCATCCTCTGTAACTATGGCTTAACGTGTACAGATGAAAATAAACACTATATAATGAAGATACTATAAACCACTCGTCCCACCATAAAATCCCGTACCAAATACTGATAACAATGTCTAATTTTTATTAAGACCAACCAAAACAGCACAGAAGTGTGCAAGCTTTCTAGAACTCATCAGGTTGGAGGTTGTTTTCTGGCATTTTAGCTGGTCTTAATAAAAAAAAAAAAAAGATTGCATGGCTTTTGTTTTTTGATTTTTCTTTGGACCAAGTACGTAGCTCTTTGAAGGTCAAAGAAGACGGGGACGGCAAAGGATGAGATGGTTAGACAGTGTCATCGATGCAACGAACATGAAATTGAGCCAACCAGAGGACGGCGGAAGACAGGAGGGCCTGGTGGGAGCTGGTCCATGGGGTCGCGAAGAGTCGGACTCGACTGTGTGACTGAACAACAACAACGTAGCTCCTTAAAAATGCTGAAATACTCAAGGATCAACCTTGGAAAAAGCTTAGATGTTGACTGACTTATACAATCTGAAAATACCAACATTCCATGTCCTGGGGCTGGTTTTTAGAGTATTTCATGTAATTTAGCCTGTTTTCTTCACAGCAGGTTGACAGGGTCTCTGAATAATCAACTGTTTTGTGTTATTTCCTTGCAGGAGACCCATGCCACAAACATTTTTCTGATTTTCGCTGATGAGATGCAACAGTCTTGGAAAACACAGTGCTTCATGCCAACTGACATGCAACATTCCTGTGGCACTTGAGAAGCTCTGGGTTTTGTTGGGAGTAAAATGAAAGGATTTGATCCTTTCATTTCAAGATGTTTGGGACTAACATTTTCCTCAGTCCAAATAAGGAAAGAACTGATGTATTTTTTTTAATGGTGAAAAAGAAAAGCCTACCACAGTATATTGGGAGGAGAGGTGTGCTTGCCCCTCCCACCTGCTTTCCTCAGCAATTTTATGAGACTTTCCCCTTAGATTATAGAGGGACTGACCAAGGTCTGCAATCAGGGAACAATGGACGCAGCCCAATAACCAGCATCTGCCTGGAGCTGTCCAGGACACAGCTGGTGCAGTTAACCACATTTCCAGATGTAGGTTTCCTGGCCACACCAAGCACAGCTGTCAGCAATGAATAAGAAAGCAGCTCCCAAAAAATGCCAGAAAGGTCCAGCTGCAGATGTTGAGTTTGCCTGGCCATCCCTATAAATAAGTTCTAGCAATGTTAGTATAAATTACAGTAAACAAATCAAAACCCGTCAGCCTTAGAACATGTGTGGGCTCTTTCTACAAAGTGAAAAACCCCACCCGGGCATTTCTTATTTGCAAATATTAATTTGTGTAAAGTACGTACCTCTAAAATTAGTCACTGACTAGCACAGAGAATACAAGGGAGTGTGTGTTTTAAGCAAAGCGGGAAGGGGGACACTGGGGACTGGTTTAAAACCAACCAACTGGCAACCTATTTTTCAAGGCAAAGCCAATGGGTGTGCAACACTATGCAACAATTTGGTCCATAACGAGAGGGTTTTTCCTCCATAAGATGAAAGCAATGCTTGACAAGCAATGAGCTGAAAAGGGCTGACTCACCTTCTCTCCATGTTGCCCCTTTAGTCCCTGGGCCACCATTTACAGCAGTCACAGCCACATGCAAGAGGGTGAAGGGGGAGAGAAAGAGAGACACAAACACAGGAGTCAGTGTTAAGACACACTAAGCCCCCAAACAACACAAATGCACGCATAGGCAGCCCCCCACCTTAAACATGCTTTGTTTAATGCTCACACACAAGCACAGAGAAGGGTGACCTTGGTTTCTGATTCCCTCCCACTTATACCACCTTTAGGAATTCTGCATTGCTGTCACATGAAACATAAAGAGTTCTATAGAAAACTCAAAGCATGGAAAGGCTGTTCCTCAAATACACCAACTTTAGATTGTAGGTCTGAACTGCAGGTGCAAATTGCATGACTGATTTCTTCCAATATATATACAGAATCTGAGGAAGGCAGCAGTTGTAACTTCTTCCAATATATATAATTTTCCCACACATAGAAAATTACCACGTCCAAGAGATGGGATCCAGCTAAGCCTTCTCCCTGACATTCCAGTGAGAGGCTTCCCCAACTTGAAGTCTGATTATTGGTTTATCTCTAGACAGTCTACAGAATCTGAGGAAGGCAGCAGTTGTAGCTGATGCTTGGAACCAATTCAACAATGACAAAATAAATGGTTATGTGTTAGCAATAAGCTCACAGGGTTAGCTAAGCTGGCCCGAACTTGAGTTCACAAGTCACCGATGCAGAAGCAGCAGCACATCTGACAAGGATCTGTAGACTTATAGCTATTGAGAAAGACTGACTCTTTGAAGGGTTAGTTTTGATGGACTCGCTCAAACTAATCATGGCCACAATAATTATCAAAACAAAGCCATCCGTTTGGGATGCCAATAAGTCAGTGAGATGAAAGACCAGATGTAATTGGAAGGTGTTTTACTATATAGCAGATTTAAATAAGTGAGAGTTATGTTTAAGAAAAACTTTGAAGTTGCTGTACTTGAGCCAGATGAACATGTCCACTTCACCAACTTAGAGTGCAATCCACAGTACAGTTATATCATATGAGAGCCTTCTAAGTCCATTGACCTCCATGAACTTAGGAGGGTTTAACTCCACTTAGAACTGTGCTGTTATGTTTCGTTACTGCCATCAGGCTTACATGATTTTTTTTTTTTAGAAACAAGTGGACAATAGCACTCCTTGTAAGTGAAATTGTGACTTGGTATCCACCAGGAACATCACTATGTCAGCAGCCTTTGCAGTTATAACAAATGGAACCCAGTGACTTTGAACTGAATTTGAGGGTGCCTGCTCAACCGAAACGTCCGAAGACCAAAATTTGCAGTCAATTTGGAGGTTTCTCCTCAGATAAAACATCTATAGAATTTCTAGTGAAACCATGAGACTGGCAAAAAATTCTCAGGAAAGTTTTGCACAGTCAAACAAAATCTAGAATCCATTATCTTAATATCCCATGTTATGTGGATATGACCCTATGTCCCTATATAGGTATCTATAGCTCTTTTTCCTTTGTGGGCAAATTCACATCACTCAGCAGGTCCAGGTTTATATCTTGCCCCTCTACCTCTACCTAAAAAGGGGGAATTTAGAAAATAATGTGTATGCCATGAGGGTCTGAGATGGAGAACCATAGATAATGGAATGGGAATTGTTGCTTATTACATTGACACCCACCCACACAAGGATTTCAGCTACAATAAGATGGCCCTATGACAAACCTGCTTACAGAATGTAACACAACGTACTATACCTATGGCCTCACTGGTAGCATAACATAAATGTATCCCCTTGATTGTATTATGGCATATCATCTGTGGAGGTGCTATAAACAAGAGCTGTCTTGGAAACTCTGCAATAGGAGATGGATACTGTTGTTCTGTTTTGAGCCTTAGCACCCAGGTCTACCAAATGGAGACTTCTGAGGGCTCACTTAGAGAAAGTTGGAAACATTTCCATTCAAGCACAAAGGGAGCCACTGGCCTGCTTTATGCTGTTTAGCTCTCCTTATCTGTCTGCTTAGCATCTCTCCCCCCCCCCCCCCACAAAAAAAAAAACTTAGGGAAAGTGAGCCACTAAGGAGAGATAAAAGTGGAGATGAACAACAGGCAAAGAAGCCCAGCCACTCCTTTCTTGAGTAATTGACCATCATCCCTTGTGCCCTTCCCCGTCTGTCAGAACTCTCAACAGGCAAAGCCAGGGTGCTCTCAGCTGGGAAGCATAATGTGGAGCCCGGCTCTCAGCTCTGCCTTCTATAGAGTGTGGCATGAGTGTGGTAAGAGCAGAAACCTCCCTTGTAACGTATCCTCTAGTGGAACAGCTTGTGCACAGAGCTTCTCTAGCAACTACTATGACTTGCATACTAGTTTTGCTGATGGCAGTTTCACCCACTTAGATAGGTAAACTGTAAGTAATCCAAGTATGTCTTCCTAGAAAGCGTTAGCTGTACATGTGCAAATCACCATAATTTGAATAAAAGGAGCTATTGCTTAGTGGTAGAGCCTTGACTATTCTTTGGCTGAAATTAATCTTGTAGCATGGCATCACACAACACAATGTTAGCAAGACATAAGAATAATTTTATTTTCCCTTGCCTCCCCACAATTCTGTACTCCGTAATTTTGAAAGAACTATCTCAGAAAGAGCAAGCTCTGTTACCAGTGGAGACCAAAAGCTTGCACAAAAGGAAAGCACTGGAGATTACAGACACATATAACTCTGAATTCTGTAGCTGATCAATAGGACATGCCACTCCTCAGTCAGTGAAAAGCTAAAATAGGACCTAAATGCAAAAACTGTTGTGTTTTCATTTCCAAGGATAGAGACAACAGCCTCCCCAGAGAACTTGTTCTATTGCTGATTTGCTTGTATACTTATGGCTTTTTACTAACATCCAATTTAAAGCCTCTGCCTTCTAATTTAAAACTACTGCTCTCAGTGGATGTGGTAACTTTTTCTCCCTCTTTGACAACCTTCCACATATTTGGGATCCCTCAGCCTTTCTTCAAAAGCTTTGGCCTTCTAAATATTTCTGTAGCTATACTGCAAATTGCCTCCAATTTGTCAACATCTTCCTTAAATTCTGGTGCCCAGAACTCAACACAGAGCTTCTGATGCAGTATGCCTTTATCCACCTTGACATAAAGATATATGCAATATTATAAACACCACACACCCATTATGAATCTTCACCTAATACATCTTAGGGGCACTTTCCTCTGCCTTATCACAAATACCATCAGTATCTGAACAACTACCAGGACAGCAAATGTCTCATCACTTTCCAGATGTTTGGCAAATGCAAAAAGAGCAGTAACTTTTATTGGGATCACTGTAGAGTGCATTTTTAAATGCTGCACTACAGTAGATCAGTTGGTTATTTTCTTTAAATGTCCAGGGTGATTTTTACCTCCATGCCAAATCATGAGGGTGGCACCACAGTGATGGAGTTTGGTGAAACTTTGAAATGTTATTACATATGCTGAAATGTATCTACAGTCTTTTTTTTTAATGGCCAATGGAAATTCCTGAAAATTTTGAAATGTCTTAAAATGTTTGGCCCTAATTTAACCACGACATTCTGCATTTCTGAACAAGATTTTGAGCTTCAAAAGCCTATGGTGACTATTGTACATAGAGCCTGTAGCAACAAGAGACAGCACATGCTTAATAGGAAATGTGACATTGGGTGATTGCAATCCTACCCCCAGAGATAGATTTATTTTAAAATGTAGGGTGTAGATACATGCCAATATATAATAATTCTGCAAAACTGAAGCAAAAACAATGACTATGACGCAAGCACCATTTGTTGATTTAGTATGGAATGCCCCTCTAACTTGATATATTTGGTGCAATATGTTCTAACGTGCCTTGACTTGCACTGAATCTTAACATGTTAGGTCATATTACACCAAATGTATTAAGTTAGGGAAGCATTCCATACCAAACAAACAAATGGTGGTTGCATCACAGTCTTCACGTACCAGGGGGGAAAGGAATGTATTCTGACTAAGCTAGAAATCAGAGTACGAACCCCTGTGTTTATTTCCTGAGTTTATTTCCTGGATCAAAGGGGTAACCATGTATTATCCTCTGGGACCTGACCACATATAAAATAGTTTATCACTCCTTTATTTTGCTGAGGGCCACTTTGCACATTTACACCCTGTTTCCTTTGCTTATTGGTGAAGGTTTGGATGAGTTATTTTATCAATGTGGGCAGGGCTTTTTTTCTGGGGCAATGCGCCAGAACAAAGTTCCGGAACCTCTTTGACAAAATTCTTTCTAAAATGTTTAAAAATTCATGAGTTTTCAGTATACAGATGGAAAACTTAATTTCCCTCTTGAGTATTCCAGCACCTCTTTTTCAAAAAAAGAAGAAGCCCTGAACATGGGTGTCAACATTTGAGATTAAGATTCAAATCAAGAATTTCGTAGGCATATTGTTGCCTGCAGTGCATCCAAGTGCATGTACAAGGGTTCATTTCAGTCATTTTCAATAGCATGAATACAGATACCAAAAGCAGCTGGCAGGCTTTTGCAATGGCATCATTTCTCTATATATGTTATTAGAAATAGATCTGGCTCATGCACCTGTATGCATGGTGGCAGGTAACACACAGGGAAAACTGTAGGTTTTGGTCTGATAAATGCAAATCTATTCTTACAGTATAATTTCTTAACTACAGGAAGTCATCAGAGCTCACCCACAAGCCTTAGTTTATTTTGTAAATAGAGAAGAAACCCAGTGAAGCTGATACATTATAGAATTTGGAAGAACCATGTATATGAAAATCAAGAAAGCAAAAGAAAGAAACAGCTAAAGAGTAGGCTGCAGATGCATCTTTGGGAGGTGATATAACAATAGAACAGGTACTACTCAACTTTCTTCACTGTACTGATTATTGGTTTAAATATGTAACATTAAAATTTGGTGGTCCAAAATGTGCTATTTTGTCCCATTCAAATGAGGACTATTTTTAGGCAAAAGATATCTGTTTGACCTCCATATTTCTTATACAAACTTTCCCCCTACTAGAAAGAGATCAATACATTTTAGAAACAGCTCTTTGCAAGAGATTAATATGTTTTAGAAACAGCTCTCTGCTGTCATGATAGGGCTGCCAAGTCCCCCCGGGGGGCAGGTAAACCCCCGCTTTGGAGGCCAGATTTCCGCCGCCGTGGAATCGGGCCCCAGGGGGAACCCCCTCAGATGGCTGTGGCCCCGCCTCCAGCATGCCCAGTGTCATCACGTCCTCTCTGGCTGATGTGCATGCGGCACGCGCACACACGCTCAAGACGCCGTCCGGGAGCCCCCCGCTGTGGAGCAAAATGGACTTGGGAACCCTATGTCATGAATATCTTTGTTCCCACTGAAAACCTGGTTTTATATGTATTCCTTAAAAACAGACTTGCATGTGGTATAGTTCACTGCATTTCTGTGTTTAAAAGTTTCATATGCATTTTATTTGTGAACTAATTAAGGGGACCCAGATTTTATATGCAAGAAAAATATTTAGCCATTGAGTTCCTCTCTCTTTCTCTTGCAAAGTAGATCTCAGGAATTGCTCTGACCTGGATAGCCCAGGATAGCCTGATCTTGTCAGATCTCAGAAGCTAAGCAGGGTCAGCCTTGGCTAGTATTTGGAAGAGCAATCTCCAAGGAATACCAGGGTTGAGACGCAGAGGCAGCAATGGCAAACCACCTCTGAAACATCTCTTACCTTAAAAACAAGTCTAGCTCGCCACCTAGTGGTGCATAATGCTAAAAGAGCTAGAACTTCTAGTTGTCAGACCATCTTAGGATCTCCTGGCTATACTACACACAATGGCACATCATGATGATGATGATGATGATAATCTCAGCAATTAAAAATGTTAATATAGCTGTCATCATTTACCTGAAATTATTAAATATATATCACCCCCAAAGGGACCTCAGATAGCAAAGGGTCTGGATGCAGTTGTGCCAGGTAGTTGTGAGAAGTTTTAGACTCACCCATAGTCCACGGATCCCCATAGCGCCTTTGTCTCCCTAACAATTAATGCAAAATCAAAGGGCAGTTGGAAATGACCATATGTGTTGCTATAAAGTGACACAAATGAACTTCCATTTGCAGTTTAATAAAGGTCCATTGATTAGTGTATATCATGCATTTATGTGCAACTATATTGGGATTTATGCTAGCAACAGCATTCCGTGCCAGCATGACTCAACACCAAGGCGCACGGAACGCTGTTACCTTCCCACCGAAGTGGTACCTATTTATCTACTTGCAATTTCTTGCTTTCGAACTGCTAGGTTGGCAGGAGCTGGAACTAGAGACGGGAGCTCACTCCGTCATGTGGCAACTCGGGTCTTGAACTGCTGAACTACTGACCTTCCACAGCCTGCAGTTCAGCATCTTAACCACTTGAGCCACCACAGCTCCTGCAGGTATGTGTTTACAAACCCTATAAAAAGTGTCTGGCACCATGTTGGTTTAATTGTTAATCTGTGATAATATGGTTATTCATATAAACAAACTCAGGATAGGGGTGACAGGGGTGAGCCTGTCACAAGGTACTAAGGAAGAGGAATTAAAACCTTTTGTTGTTCAAGGGAAACTAGAAAAGGAATAGAGGGCTGTGTCCATCCAGGAAGAGGTTTCATGAGCCAGTCTGCTTCCAGACATGAGCAGCGGGGGCAGTTAACACTGTTTAAAAGCACAGGTCCTATGGTCAATGGACATTGGGAGAGTGAGCATAGCCAAAGCCCCCAGATTGTCTATCTGCAGCTTCATTTTCAGCAGTGGTGCTCATTACTAAACAGTGACTGCGACAGAGAGGAGCCCTGCACTCTTCTTGGGAAACACGTGCTCCAGCCAAGTAAGGCAGCTGTGCCTTTCACATTAGCATAGAAGTGTGCCTCTAGTGAATGGACAGCTGTGCACCTGCAAAGTACTGGGTTCGCATGGAGGACTCGGACGACGACATGCGGTTGCGCACGTTTATTGTACTTAACACAAGACTAACTCTAACGGCCCGACAGGGCCAACTATATACATATCCACCCAGCACCCCCTATTCCCATTGGAGGGTTTCAATGTCCTGCCAAGTGGCTATTGGTTGGGGCTGGGGGAAACCAGGATCCAAAGTTTCCTTTGTTCCAGGAGCCAAGCTCCTGCATGTGCCGCAGACCCCTGGTGGCGGTCCACGTACATAACAGCACCCTCAAAGGTACAGGCCATGCACCATCAGTATCCCTGCAGAGTGCTATGTGTCCTGCTGATCCTTGGCTGCCTCTAATAGATGTTCACTACTAAGGACACAAGAGCTCTCCTGTTCAGCCGCTGCTCCCTAGTTGGCAGCAGGTTTTTACTCCATTCTGCCCAAGTTCACCAGCTGGACACAACCTTGACAGTAAGGACATTTGTCCCTCAAAAATAAGGGATAAGGTGGTCAGTCAGCACTGGCACAGCCACCCCTGCAGATATCAGAGACTGCGGCCATGCAAATTATTGGCTCCAGCTGCAGTGTGCAGGTTCACCTTTTCTTGCAATAGAATATTGGGTTGTTGTTCTTGGGCTCCTTAGAGGACAGCCATGGAAAAGTGAAAGGAGAAACAAATGACCCCACATCCCCTTCCCTGCTAAGCACACCCATGAGTAACTGTAAAAACAGTCTTTGTTTTAAGGCTGCTTTTACATACCCATACACACAACTTTGCTGTGTAATGATCACAGTGTGTGTCTGTGTGTTTTCCTCTGGCAAGTCATCAGTAAAAATAAAACACATTAAGCTTCCCCAATGGAACAAACAGTAGCTATTAAGAAAAACGTGATCCTGAATGCCAGAGCATCCTAGAGTATTCTGTACCTAGGACCTTTTCTCTGATGGGTTGCTTGTGTTCTTCCCACTAAAATACATATCTCTTCATATGTTCTTTTGCTTCCTTCACAGCACTCAAAACATTTTGGCCTGCTTTCCCAATTGTAACCAGCAAGAACAAGAAACTCAAGAAGGACAATTAAAAGGTATTTACCGGCAGACCAGGTCTTCCACTGGGACCCTGAAAAGAAACACAGGAAAGGAAACATTGGCAGAAAAACTGGGGGAATGGATTGGCATACAGAAGCAATAAATACATATGTTCATTCAGTTTTGAACATGGAGAACACCATTCCCCAGTGGTGGCAGAGCACATACTTTGCATGTAGAAGGTGCTAGATCAAGTCCCTGGAATCTCTAGTTAAATATTCATGGACAGCAAAGTTAAGAGTTGATACCAGTCAGTCAACTATACTGGACTAGACGAACCAATGGTCTAACTCAGTAGCACATGGTAGCTGGCTCAGTTAAAGCTTGATAAGTTGCTCATTGAGTGCCAGCACACAAGCTTGACGAGTTAAAGCTTGATAAATTGCTCATTGAGTGCCAGCACACAAGCTTATCACTATTGTCTCAACAATTGTATTTTTCTGTCATATTCTCAACAAGGGTATTTCTGGCTGGGAACAAGCAGCATTAGTATTCTAGAGGAAGCAGCACTCCAGCTTCCAAGAAGGAATCCCACTTCCCACAAATAATGAGACTATATGGCTGCTTAATGTTAGCTTGACAAGTTATTTCTGGAAGGGAAGAGTTTTTTCTTGCAATGCCACCATACCTTGGAGGAGGGATAAAAATCAGAGCACTGGTGGCAGGAAGTCTTTGAGGACTGAAGAGAGGTCACTGAAACATCTGTCTACTTGCTGTGTGTGTCTGCTATGTTTGTTATGCTAATTTGTTATGTTTTTGACTAATTATGTAGGCCACCTTGAATGCCGTATATGGTACAGTAAAAATTGTCTAAACAAATAAATATTTCACATAGGTCTATTGTTGAAAAGGGAAGTTTTGTGTGCACACACAGTGCATTAGTTAAAGAAAAACGTGGCATGATGCTTTAATTAGGGGACACCTTGTTAGTCAAATATGTTGCAGAGATTCAGAAGAGCCAGATGTTGAAATAAGCTGCAAGCCTCATTCCTCTTTAGGCAGGACACATGCAGAGGAAATACTAGGGAGCAATAAAGATAATCAAGATATATAGAGCAATACAATATCTCTTCCCTTTCTTTGTCTCTCTTTACATATACATCACAGTGGATGATGTTGACAGAACAAAATTTTAACAATAGTATGATAGGTCATCACTGGAAGCAACTTGTGTGAACACTGGAAAGCAAAACTGTTAACTATATCAACAATCCAATTCCATGAGTATTTGATCAGAAATAAGCCCCGCTGAGTTTAATGGGACATGATGCCAGGTGTGTAGTGTTGCATCCTAGATTCAAAATCCCTTGCTAGCCTGGAAGGTTTCTTGGCAAACTCAGTCTACAAGCCAAAACATTCGTCTTTACAACCCAAACCAGAGAACTTCATACTTGACTGAACCCTATTTATCCCTACTGAGATAAATAAACAGTGTGAACTAAAAATAAAAATGGATATCACTTATGATTTGAGTCTAGAGAATTCTGCTGTGGAAGGAGGTTGGATTAAATGAGGAGGCCTCTTCTGAATATGGTTCTAATTGACATTGATAAAGAGACCTAAGAGCTTCAGTTTTGAAATACAGATGACCAACTGCTCCTGAAAAACAGGACATAATTGTCAGGTATGTTGTCTTGTTTTTAACCACCTGCCTGCCTGTTAAAATTAATGGGCTGAGCCCATTTGTTATCCAGCCAATAGCCAGACATTTTAAGAAGGAGGTTGGGGGACATTGTAAGTCAACAGAAAATAGAACACCACCAATTAGGGGTATTCTATTTGCAGTTATTTAATTTATTAAAGGGTACATTAAATAAAATCAAGCACATATCAACTGATTCTCATCCCAGGGAAAAGTCCTTGCTGTATGTCTACCAGGTCAAGCTCAAGCAATGCCCAGCCTACCCTTCCAGCCAAGAAAACAATGCAGCCATGCCTGAGCAAAGCAAAATAACTCTTACAACTGATGATATAAGAAAACCCTTAGTATCTAATAGTGAGGTTATGCTCATTGTTGAAAGATCCTGACAAGAATAACACGGCATTCTCAATGAACACAGAGTGCAGTTTACATCAGGTAAAGAATTCTGGGGAAAGAATCCAGGTAAATCTATATTCTCTCTTCCCCACTACCTCTTGTGGTTGCTGGGAATGCCAGGTGGGATCTGGGGACCCCCTGGAATTACAACTCATCTCCAGACAACAGAAATCAGTTCCCATGAAGAAAATGGATGCTTTGGAGGGTGGAATCAGTGGCTTTGCACCCCACTGGTGTCCCTGTCCTCCCCAGGCTTCATCCTCAAATCTCCAGGAGTTTCCCAACTTGGATCTGACAACACTGCCTCCTCTTCTTCCTCCGGTGTCCAGGGGGGACCTAGCAACCCTAGGTTTCACTCAGCTATAGCACTCTCCTCTTCCTGCCTGAAGGTCAGTCAACATGTCTCATTATGAATCTGTACTATCTCAATGGCGTCCCCATCAAAAACACACTGATAGTGGAATGCTAGAGTGTCAGGGAAACTATAAATCCGTATGGACTAGACTGAGACATTTTCCGCAGGAACAGCTCCTACATTTGTATTCCTCCACTGCTTTCGCTTGTTTCCATAGAGGTTTCTGTAGTCCCAGGAGCAAAAGGCAGTTTGCCCCCTCTTGTGGAGCAGCAAGGGAATTCCGGGAATCAGGGAAGTCTGATGCTGCGCAGCAAGAGAGGACAAACTGCGTATTTGCACCTGGGACTGCAAAAGCATCTGCAGAAATGAGCAAAAGAGGCAGAGGGATACAAATGCAGGAGCAGGGAGAGCCATCCCTGTGGAAAATGTCTGAGGTGCCCTGTGGTTTGCTGAGATCAAGTACACTGAATCAGAACATCTGAAACTGAAAGAAACAAATGTGTGCCTTTGTACAGGACGTGCTTCATTTGTATCATATGCACAGCCTCTAGAATACCATTGGGTAGTGCTTAGGGTGTCAGACTAGGGTCTGAGACACCCAGGTTTGCACCCCCATTCTGTCATGGAAGCTTATTGGGTGAGCCTGGGCCAGTCACTCTCTCACACCCTAACCTACCTCACAGGGTTGTTGCAAGAATACAATGGAACATGTGCAAATGTTCTTTTAGCTGCTTTGGGTCCCCACATAGGAGAAAAGGTTTCCCTTGCTCAATAGCTAGTCAAATCCTACTCTAGGGGGCGGTGCTCATCTCTATTTCCAAGCTGAAGAGCCAGCACTGTCCAAAGACTTCTCCGTCGCCATGTGGCCAACATGACTAAACGCCAAAGCACACAGAATGCTGTTACCTTCCCATCAAAGTGGTACCTATTTATCTACTTGCAATTTTTTGCTTTCAAACTGCTAGGTTGGCAGGAGCTGGGGCCAGAGATGAGAGCTCACTCCATGACGTGGCACTAGGGTCTCCAACTGCTGAGCTACTGATCTTCCGGTCTGCAACTCAGCGTCTTAACCTCTGAGCCACCACGGCCCCTACTTAGGAGAAAACCAGAATATAAATATCTAAATAAACAAATTGTGTTCTTTTACTGCATTTTCACCAGTAGAGCTTTATGGTAAAAGGCTTCATACAGTAATTTTGGATCCTACAAAAATGCACACAGATGTCAGGTAGGCCAGTGCTGCTACATCAATGACACAGAAATCAGTCAGGTCAAAGTAAACAAGCGAAGATGAGATGTGATCGCACCAATCTAAGTTTTTGCCCCAGATTTTCTCAAGAGCTTTGTACTAAATAGTTCCTAGTTAAATTTATTTATTTATTTATTTATTTATTTTTATCCCGCCCTCCCGCCGAAGCGGCTGATCAAACTGTTTTTTGCTGCTCACACAATACAGTATTTACAATGGTACTAAATACATGTGAAAGAAATTAAAGAAGAGGTAGAAGAGGCAGTTGGTTCATTTGGTCTATGAATTTGATTGGCATTTGTTTAAAAATGAACTATTTCCCTTCCATTGACTTTTCAGAACTTTCCCCTCCCACCTTCCAGTTGCCCAGTCACTTTACCATCTGATGCTTTCTTCATACCACACACTGACATGAGTTTCGGTACTTACAGGGGGGCCTGAAAGAAATAGAAGGGCAGGGGGAAAGTAGTTAACACTGCAGAATTCATTAATGCCATTACAGTCTATACAAACAGTTTTAATAACATCAGAACTTCCTCAGAATTTCATTTTTTGTAGTATTGTGGCTGACAGCATAAACTGCCAAGGCTCTGGTTTAAATCTCACCTTAACAATAAAAAATGAACAGGTCCTCAATACAGACAGAAGAAAAATAGGACAAAGGGCCAATGGGAAAGATGTATACTGATGAAGAAATACAAAATCTGTTTGCTGAATACCATGTACAGAACCAAAACCATATTAAAACATCATGAGACTCTGAATTATGTACTCATTTTGGACCTTACTTCCCAATAAGATTACATTCAGTTGCAGGGTATGAATTGCTACAGAAGGCAGCTGAATCTTTGTAATAGCAATGACCGATATAACAACAGGGGTTCCCAACCTTTTTGGTATGGTGACCCACAAGTCCAAATTTTCTTTGTATGGTGAGTTGTCCAGGGCTGGCCCAAGCTTTTTTTGCTCTATAGACAAACTCTGGCACCCATCAGTTCCAGCATTCCATTTTCTATACTACTCATCCAGGTATTTTTGAGAAACTGGTAAACTTCACACAAAGGGTGCAGCTGCCGCCACTAGGAACCCCAAGCAAGTGTGAGTTCATCTCCTCTTCTTCTGCCAGCTGGGCCAGACTGGGAGTTTGAGGATGTGCACTTAGAGGGCAATTTGCTGAGGAGATATGCAAAGATGGCAGATGACAGTGAAGAGGTAGCTGACAAGCAGTGTTCCCTCTAAGCTGAGTTAGTGTGAGCTAGCTCATAGTTTTTTAGCCTCTAGTTCACACATTTTTGTCTTAACAAAGTAAGGATGGCTCCAGAGCAAACTAATTTATGCAGCAGCCAAATCACTTGCTCACAACTTTAATGCCAGTAGCTCACAAAGTAGAATTTTTGCTCACAGGACTCCACAGCTTAGAGGGAGCATTGGTGACAAAGGTCTCAGTGCAGTATATCTCCCACAGCAGGTAGAGAGCAGTGAGGCATGGCAGGGGGCTGGACAAGGGGCTGGGCAGCTGAAGGAACAGCACCAACAGAGCCCAACATACACACACACCTCTTTCTGTCCTCCTTTGGTTTTTCTATGGCATGCTGAATAGCTCCCTTCTGCTCCCCAACCTCCCCCACCCCTTCTTTCAGCGACTACTGTGAAGTTACTAGTACCTGAATGGCTTGCTTGTTTGTTTGTTTGTTTGTTTGTTTATTATTTTCAATTTGTATCCTGCCTTGCTGGCGAACTGGCTCAAGGCGGCGTACAGCATTAAAATACAATAAAACAGTAAATACAGTAAAATACAATAAAATACACATAAACAACTTACAAACAGCATAAAATACCAATAAGAACTGTGTAAATTATGGCGGCATTAGGGCTGCCAAATGCAGCCGGGGGGCGGGGAATCCCCCGTTTCAGAGCCCCGATTCCCGGCGCGCCGGAATCGGGGCCCGGGGGAAACCCCACCCCCGCGTGCGCGCCACCCGGAAGTGACGTCGCACGCTGGGGGCGGAGCCACGCTGTTTAAGGGGAAAACTCTTTGATTTCCCCTCAAACGGCGTCGCCCCGCCCAGCATGTGACGTCACTTCTGGTGACATCCTGGCGGCGCGCGCGCACGAGCGCGCATGCACGCGCATCTCCCGGAGCAGAGAGAAGATCCCCCGACACCAGGTATTTTTGATTTGGCAACCCTAGGCGGCATTCAATATAAGTGGAAGACAGTGTCCACCGGTGTATCATACAGGCCATAGTATGTTCCAGTGGCTCATTCGTCAGTGGCGACTCCTAATCGAAAGCCTGGTGGAAAAGCTCCATTTTACAGGCCCTGCAGAACTGTAAAAGGTCCCACAGGGCCCTGATGTTATCCGGGAGCCTGTTCCACCAGTGTGGAGCTGCTACTGAAAAGGCCCTGATTCTAGTAATGGCCAACCTGGCTTCCCTCGGGCCAGGGAGAATCAGGCGATTCTGTGTCCCTGACCTCAGTGCTCTCTGGGGCACATATGGGGAAAGGCGGTCCCTCAAATAGGCAGGCCCCCGACCATATAGGGCTTTAAAGGTCAAAACCAGCACCTTGAAACGAATCCGGTAAGCTATTGGCCGCCAGTACAATGTCTTCAGCACAGGCTGGATGTGGTCTCATATAGAGAGGCCCATCAACAGCCTGGCTGCCGGATTTTGTACTACCTGCAGCTTCCGGATTTGAGACAAGGACAGCCCCATGTAGAGAGTGTTGCAATAGTCTAATCTCGAGGTGACCATAGTGTGGTGTCTTCGGAAAAGACTGATGTGAATCACCACATTCACTTTCAATGTTAAGCTCGAGACAAGGAAGGCTCCTCCGAGCTAACTTACCATTGGTTGCTCCACAACAGCGACCAATCAGAATTGGACTAATTCCCTGCGAAGGAAGAACGCTCATTGGACTTTATCTGTACAACCTCATTGGTTGTTATTTGAAAGTAGGCATGGCTATGTTAGCCCGGGAATGTTTAAAAGGAGCCTAGCTCCTAATGTTAATCTGTTCTGGTTATCACTTATTGCAAGCGCTTGTTCGTATCTACAATAAAGCTGTTCACTTTGTTGAAATCACTCTCCAGATCTTTGTTAGCGGTGATCTAACACATAGCATGAATCACTGTTGCCAGGTCATTGCGTTCGAGGAAGGGAACCAACTGCCTAATCAGCCGTAGATGGTAAAAGGCTGCCTTGGCAGTGGCTGCTACCTGGGCCTCCATTGTTAAGGAGGCATCCAGGAGCAATCCCAAACTCCTAACTCTCGGTGCTGGCACCAATGGCGCCCCATCGAAGGTCGGGAGTGGGATCCCTACCCCCGACCCACTCTCTCAGGAACAGGACCTCCGTCTTCGTCGGATTCAATTTCAATCAGCTCGGTCTAAGCCAGCCCACCACGTCCTGAAGCACCTGCTCCAGGTCCCTTGCTATTGTCACAAAGATGGAGGAGGAGATGAGAATGTAAAGAGTTGGCAAGTAAGAGTTGCCCTTAGGGAGGGCTGACCGGCGACCCACTTTTAAAGGCATCGTGACCCTGCGTTGGGACATCAGTTAAAACACAGCAATATGAGTGAACAGTCTGTGAAGCTCACTGTCAAATCTCAGACACTCCCAACAAATACAGTTTCATATGCATTGATGCATCTGCCCTGTGCATTGCAGAGGATATGGGGCTGCATTTTCCAGTAAAACAAAGTTCATGTTAAGCAATGGTGAACCCTAGTGGTTCCTGACACTGCCTTCCTGAGAAGGAAACCTGCAATGCTGAACAAACTTGGTCTGACCTAGAGCTGCCAGTCCCCAGGTCCTGGGAGGGGTTTATTTATTTTATTTATTTATCCTTCGGCTTGATATACCGCCCTAACCCCCGTAGGGGTCTCTGGGCGGTTTACAGTTCTTGGGTGCTAGTCACCTATATCGACCCTAACTACGGCCACACATTGGTACAAGGGGGGGGATTTCCCTACCGACACCCTGGTGAAAGCATTCCTCGGCTCGGCTCCTTCTGGCTGCACGATGTCTGGTGCTCAAGCAGACGGGGGGTGGGGGGGGTTGTAGGGAACGCTGGTGACGTCGTCCTCGGCCCGACCATGTCCTTTCCGGCTCCGCGCGCCTCTGGATGACGTTGCTCAGCCTCTGTCGACGGCAGCCGCCTTGTTCTTCCACTGCTGGCCACCAGGGGTCAGCCAAGCTCTGCTTGCCACTGCTTGCCACCTCTCAGTGTTGCGTCATCTCCTCCAATCGCCACCGCCGGTGCTCTGCTGCCGCCGCTGTTGTCACCGCCGCCATTGCTGCCAATGCCGCTGCTTCTCCATACACCTCCACAGACGGAGGGGGGTGCCCCCCACCCTACTAAGGGTGGGTACCCATTTATCTACTCGCCGATAGATAGTTACTTGGCTTTCGAACCGCTGGGTGGGCGGGGTGGGTTCCTCCAGTTTTTGGGGCTTCCCAAAAAAACCCCGCCCCCAAACAGTAACGTTGCTGCACGACATCCCCAACACAATGATGTCACCCAGAAGTGACGTTATCACATCAGGGCGTCGTGCAGTGTCACTCCGGTATGAGGGCAAAGCTCTATGATTTGAAGCTGGATTTACCATAGAGTTTAACAAAAAACCAGTGCGCCACCATGGGTGATGTCATCGTGTCAGAGATGTCCTGAAATGCCCCCCAAATCCCCCTGCTGGCATGAGAAGGGGACCAGGAATCCCTACTCTGGCCTCTTGAATTTTTTCTCAATCTTTACTTTCCTCATCCTAGCAAGCATTTATATTAGCACCCCCTTAAATGTCTGTAGCAACACTATGCTGTCTACTTTCTTCTCACTCATTTTGATTTGAACGTGTTCTCACTACTTCCTGTCACTGAATTTCCGCTTGTTTAAAATTGAAAATAAGACTCCATACTTTTCTTTGTTTTAAAGACACATGGGTAAAAGTGAAGTAAACCTTTTACAAACCGTTTGGCAATTGGATGTGCAAACAGAGTACATCCGTCAACAGCAACATGAAAAGCCGACAGTGCGGCTAAATAAACTCTTAACGAAGAGTGGGAAAGTCCTGAGTCAGCTAAGGATAGAAGGAAATTGAACACTTTTTCGAGGCCCGCTGAGGTGGCTCGAGAGGCGTCTTTTCCCAGAAAAGCACAGAACTTTCTCCATTTATAGTCGTAGGACTTCCGAGTAGTAGGCTTCCTGGAATTTAAAAGGACGTTTACTACATGTGAGGAGAAGCCTGCGATGTTATCTGCCATGCCGTCAGTTTCAACTGTGGGATGTTGTGATGAAGGATGGGTGAGTCTGAGAGAATGAGTAGGTCCGGGGCCGGGGGGAACTGATGGTATATCCCCCGCGATAGTTCGAAGACCATTGAAAACCAAGGTTGACTTGGCCACCATGGTGTTATGAGGATTCAGTCCGCGTTGTCC